TACTCGTAGAGAAAAAGGGTATACTAGATTTGTCGGAAAGTATGTAACAGGCAGAATGAAGCGTTTCCGACCCCATAAAGTATGTATATTCTTGATCAGGATCACTAGCCGTGTCGATCTAGCCATGTACGTCCGTCCGTCTGTCCGTATGAACGCTAAGATCTCAGAAACTATAAGATCTGAAATACTGCGATAAGGCATGCAGATTCCTGAGATTCCTGAGATTCCTGAGCAGCGCAAGTTTGTTTCAGCAGGGTGCCACGACTACTCAAACGCCCACAAACCGCCCAAACCTGTGGCGCCCACAATTTTCATGCTAGATAAAAAATTTTAAAGTTTCCGAGATCACAGCGTTCATACGGAGACAATTCTCAGCTTCTCATTCAGCGCAAGTTTCTTATTTGAATGTGCCACGCCCACTTTAAGGCTTTAAAATGATTAAAACGCTAAAGTCTGTAATCAACTCAAGCAGAGATGCCGCTTTAGAGAATAATTCATTTCGTAATTAAAATATTTTTTATCTCTATATTAGGATTTCCAATTAGTTTAATATCTTTATCTCTTGTTATTCATCTGTTTAGGATCAGTCGCATTGTTAATTTAGTAGTCTGCCTAATTTTTTGTCTGGTGTGCAGTCCTTGTTTTTTTATTTTGAAATTTAACACTATTCACAATGGAAGAAAACCTTAATAATTCAACAGCAAATAGTCGTGCCCTTCTGTGCATCCTGGCAAAGCAGAACCCTGGTCTCAAGATTTGTCATATAAATGCCCAAAGCCTGCCAAAGAAAATTGAAGAGTTTAGGTACATGTTTGTAAATTCGGAAATTGCTGTTATATGCGTGTCTGAAACATGGTTTGTCCAGAGTCTATGTGATGTGCTAATATCGTGTGATGGATATAATGTGTACCGTTCTGATCGTGTTAGTCATGGGGGAGGAGTTGCTATATATGTAAACAAAAAATTAAAAGCCAAAATTATTTGCCAACACACAATAAACAGTGCAATAGAATATATTTTTCTTGAAATACAAAACCCGATTATTGATAAAAATCTGTTAATTGGCTGCATTTATCGTCCGCATTGCAACACAAACTATGATGATTTAATCAATATTCTGACAGACATTACAGTAAACTTCACTGGTGTAATCCTTGCAGGCGATCTTAATAGTGATATTCTGGGGGAATCTCACCTTACCAGCAACATGGAATCGCTAGGTCTGAAACCAGTGAATCTTTCATTTCCAACCCACTTCAGCAGAACACGTAACTCATTATTAGATTTGTTTTTTGTGAGTGATGTTAATAAAATATGTTTGTATGATCAGCTAATCGTTCCGTCCTTTTCAAAACATGACCTTATATACCTGACCTATAACTTTGACCTAAACTACACGGACCATACAATATTTTATCGTGATTTTAATAATATTAATTACATACTGTTGAACGAAGCATTTGACCTGTGTGTATGGAACAATATTTACAGTCTTCCAACAGTCGATCGTCAACTTAAACTTCTACAACATAATATTAGCCAATTATACGATAGTTTTGTCCCAGTTAAAAGTAAAACAATTCGACCGTCCGAAAAACCATGGTTTACTAATAATATAAAATTGGCAATTATAAAACGAAATGAAGCATACCAGAAGTGGAAAAGATACAAAACACCGCAACACCACAGCATGTTTGTATCTCTGAGAAAAACGGTTACCAAACTAATCGACTCTGCAAAATCAAACTTTTTTAGCCAAAAATTTAAAAACTCAACCTCTTCGAATCAAACATGGAAACAGATTAAAACTCTAGGGATAGGTAAACAAAAGACATCACAGGAACTAGATGTTGACATAGATGAACTCAACCTTAAATTAGCAGAATGCCAAGTTCCAGAGGTCACAACCAACACGTACCTGAATTCAGTACCTGAAAACGTCTGTGATACTAGTTTAGATTTATGTGTGTTGACCAATGTGATGTTTTAGATAATATTCTTAAAATTAAGTCTAACGCAATTGGACCTGACGATATTCATCCTAAATTTATAAAAATTCGACTTCCTAAACTTATCCCATACCTTACGCACACATTTAACACGGCTCTTACCACGTCTACGTTCCCTGATTGCTGGAAAACCGCCAAAATTATCCCAATACCAAAATCAAACAAAGAATATCGGCCGATATCTATTCTTCCGTACCTCTCGAAGGTGTTTGAAAATATTGTCGCATCACAAATAAATAATTTTATATCTGTCAATAGCCTCTTAAATGACCATCAATCTGGATTTAGAAAAAATCGTAGCTGCACTTCAGCCATCTTAAAAATAACCGAAGATATACGTCAACAGACGGACAACTCGTATGTCACCTTCTTACTATTGCTGGACTACAGCAAAGCGTTTGACACAGTAAATCATGATATCCTGTGCTCAAAACTCAAAAATTTGTATTTCTTCTCCAATACTGCCTCAAACTTTTGTGTTCGTATCTTAAAAATCGTCGTCAATATGTTGTATCGTCAAATATTTGTTCTTCGTTTGCCTATCTGAAGCGTGGTGTACCCCAGGGTTCGGTTCTTGGACCACTATTATTCACACTTTATATAAATGATCTTCCTTCTGTGCTGTCGAAATGTAATGTCCATTTATATGTTCAGATGTATGTTAGTCGTCCCTTAAACAGAATTAGTGAGTGTTTAGATATTTGTAGAATGGAGCTTGGAAGAGTAAATGAATGGGCAAAAAACAACGGTCTAGCCATCAATCCATTGAAATCAAAGTGCTTAATCATTTTTAAGAAGAATTATGCAATATTGAACTGTTCCCCTTGATGATTAACAAAACACCAATTGAGTACGTGGAAACCGCCAATAATTTGGGTATCACATTTAATAGAACCTTGAACTGGAATGACCACGTAAACAAAGCTGTAGGCAAAACATACGGACTAATAAGATCCTTGTCACTAGTTAAATGTTCCTTACCTGTTAGTGTGCGTCTTCTAATTGCCAAGTCTTGTATAATACCCACACTCTTTTATGGTCTAGAGATCTATGCAAATTGTGATGTAGCAAGTCAACATAAGCTGAAAATAGCATACAACAGTATTGCGCGTTTTATATTTAATTTGCATAGATCTGACCATGTAACTCAAATTTCTTACAAGATATTTGATATAAGCTTGGCAGATTATATGAAAAGTAGAACAATAATCTTTTTACACAAAGTTATATACACCAGGGAGCCATCGTACTTATTTGAAAAATTACAATTCTCCAGATCTACAAGAACAAAGAATATTATCTGCATCCGACACAGGTTTCTGCTTCAAATAGACAATTTTTTATAAATGCGATTAGAACGTGGAACGAGCTTCCCAACTACATAAAAGAAACTAGGAGCGCAACACTATTTAAGACAAAACTTCTCTCACACCTAAAAAATAGCAGTTCTAGTCTACTATAAGGTATATTATCCTATTTTAACATTGCGACTTATCCCCAAAACCTTTTCCTTAGTTTTTTAATTTCGATTTAACTTCATTTCTATTTATCTAAATGTTCAACAATAAATGTAACAATGTATGTCATTAGATTTAAGAACCAATTTTGTCCAAATTTAAATATGTTTACCAGTTGTGACTAGCGCTGTAATTTATAAGTTTTAAAACTTGTAGCGTTAGGAAGCCTAAAACAATAAATAATAATAATAATAAAGTCTGTATAGGGCCTACAATTGATCCATTAGTCAAAGTACCAAGTGTTCGAACTTAGCCACTTTTTATGGCTTAATAACACTTTTCCAATTCGTAGCCGGTATTTCGAACTTTTGGCAGGTTACAAACCGAATTCTGTGACCCCCAAATTTAAAAAAGATTAAAATGTAAAATACATTTTATTTTATTTTGATTTTCAATACCTACCGGCACGTCGAAAATTATTAAAATCGGAACACAAGTTCACTAGCTATGATTTTATCGTCAGTGACGTCGTAAGAAGAATAAAATGAATTGTGAGGAGTTTTAAAACTCGTCACAAATCTGGAGGAGCCAAGGGCATCCCCGTCCACCAATAAACAATGGACCTTGCACCCAAGCAGAACGAAAAGACCGAGAAATAACGGTGCAGCGCTGGACTTAGACTCTCGTCGCCAAGGGCAGAAAGGTCGAACGGTAAATGTGCGGACTTTGGACCAGCACAAAAAGGACGCACCCTGAACTAACGGGACGTCGGTGGACCTTGGACTCGGACTCGGTGCAAGCCGTGTACAAAGGGGGAAATAACGGGACAGCCAAGGCCTATAAAGGGTAAGGCCCAAGCGCAGCTCAGAACAGTCAATCAAGATACGCAGGCGAGAGTCGACATACGCGAGACAATCCACGAGACAAGCAGAAGAAAAGTACTAGTTCGAGGATTCAAACGAATGCGTGGTCGCGAGAGTACCGTTAGATTCCTTTGCTCAAACACTATGACCAAGATATCATAGTCAAGACGCTGAAGCTACAAGGTTGATACTGCAACGGTGATTTGAGACGAAAGGATTTGATAGGAGGAACAGCGGAGGCGTTAAGGAGAACGAGATCCCGGTACGGTAAGAGTGGAGACGGAGTATCGTATCTAGCGACAAAGGAGGGTTGTGGGTTCGACCTGCTGGGCCATACGTGTCATTGACGAGAACCAAACATCCTGAGTCCAGCCAGCCGTGCGGGATTGGAGCAGTCCAGGAAGAGCGACGCCACAGGAGTCATTGAGGAGCGCCGCCGCCGAAAGCTGGGAGTCACTGTCAGCTGACGATCACAACCATTCCAATTCCCAATCGGATATCATGCATTTTCTTGGGTTTCGAGTCGAGAGAGAAGAGAATGGTAGAACAAGGGGAACGGCGTAGTGCAGGATTACGCCAAGGTGGTGAAGTAGGTCCGAGAGTGGAGCTTCGGTATGACGGGCACGAAAAGCGCTTGGAATTTCTGGAATTTTCTTACACACGGGCTCGACATAAATCAAATCCCCAAAGCGATGCCGGAACTCCTGCAGGGCCAGCCGTTAAATGGTTCATCGCCAAGAACAGGTTTTTGGAAACTGGTTTTCACCCGGAGATTTCCAGGAATTTTTCTGAACCAATGGCTTCATGGTGAAACTAGCCGATCGGGTCAGACAGAGGAAGCAAGCCTACGGTGAGTATTTCAAAGACTTCATGGTAGACATGCAGACCTCGACACAGCCTCTGGTTATGTCCCGAAAGAAAGTCCTGGAGAGGATCACGGAAAACAGCTCGCCGGCCAAAGTCCACCTGGAAGCCGCACGTAGGAAGCAAGGCACAATCTGCAGAAGCTACCAGGAAGGCACATGATCAGAGTGTTTCCAACGGAAGGAGAGGTATTATAATCAACCATGCATGGGCATACCGAAGATGTGAATGCCAGGAGCATTACAGTGTTCATAGACAGGAAGGAGTTTAAGGCCACGGTGGACACGCCACCAGAAAGGGCAAGATCACGAGGTCAAAAAGTTAATGCTACAAGGCTGAGAATACATCGTTGAGGCCGGAATGGTGGTCGATGAGGAACATTGAGCAAGGAGCGGAGTATGTGGAGCAGTATACGCATGGGAGGGGAAAGCACTACGTTCAAGAAATTTACCAAACAAATTTTAATTTAAATTTTAGATTTCATTAAATTGCTCTATCTCACTCTAAGCCGTAGAAGCAGTAAAAAGCTTATTTCTCAGGAATCCGAATGCATCTTTTCCCTCAGCTGACATTACAAATTATTGTTTTGGTTTAAACAGGTCGGTCAATGGGGCTGATACTGCAGCGAAATTATTTATAAACTTCTTTTACCATCCTGCTAAACCGAAGAAACTTCTTAGCGATTTAAGTATTGTTGGCAAAGAAAAATTGTTATACAGGGTGGCTGATGAAAGCCGCTACCAAAAAAAAATTAAATACCTTTTTTTCTATTTAATGAATATGGTTAATTTTTTTTATTTTGCAGATTGACTTTTACATTTCACAAAAATGGATAACTGTGACACTGAAACAAGAATTTGGATTGTCCGCCGCTATCACGCACTGGAGTCCGTAGTTTCGGTTCAAAGAGAGTATAGGCGCACGTTTGGCGGCAATCCTCCGAGCAGATGGACCATAATGAGACTTGTAAACAATTTTGCCGAGCATGGGACAGTCAACAGAAGACCTTACCATCAAAACCCTTCAGTTTGAATGGAGGAAACAATCGCTGCTGTAGCTGCTGCCATACAAAACAATCCACGTGTTTCGACAAGAAGCTTATCTGCTCAAATGGGTGTAAGCAGACAGTCATTACAGTCAATTATGCACAAAGATTTGGACTTATTCTCATATTAAATTCAAATGGCCAACAAACTGAACGCTGCAGACTTGCCGATTCGCTTGGAATTTTGCCAGAAGATGCTTCAAATGGTGCATGTCTGACGAGGCCCATTTCGATTTAAGCGGCAACATAAACAAACAAAATTGTCGAATATGGAGTGCTTCCAACCCACAGACACTCCATGAGACGGAATTGCATCCACTTCGTGTCACAGTGTGGTGTGCAGTTTCATCACGCTGCATTGTCGGGCCCTACTTCTTCGAAGAAAACGGTCACACCGTTACGGTTACTGGAGACCGTTACTTGAGCATGTTGAGAGAGTTTTTCTATCCAGAATTACGCCGAATGAAAATTTCTTTCAACTCTGTGTGGTTTCAGCAAGATGGTGTAGCTCCTCACATAGCGCAACCTTTTATGACAGAATTGCGACGAAAATTTCCCAATAAGCTGATATCCAGAAACTCCACATTCCGTTGGCTACCCAGGTCGCCTGACCTTACTGCACCTGACTTTTTCTTGTGGGGTTCTTACAAACAGGAAGTCTACAAAGCAAAAAGAACAAATTTGACTGAAGGCAATCCATTCGAGAAACAATTGCGGCTATTCCTGTCTCAACTCTCCAAGCAGTAATGAACAACTTTTTGGTAAGATGCCGCACATGCATCAACGAGCAGGGGGCATTTAAATTCCATTATTTTTAAAACTAATTAAGCTATATTTAATAAAATTGAATGAGCTTTAACATAAATAAAAGAAAAACGAATTCCATACACTGAAAAAAAAATATTTGAGTTTCTTAATGTAGCAATATTCATCAGCCACCCTGTAGCTGAGATTTTATTGGGATCGGTGCGAACTCCACGTTCACGGCATCCTTCAAGTCTAAACTACTTATGAAAACGGATTTGGGCAATCGGCTGAGAATGCTATCAATTTGAGACAGTGGGTAAGCATCCTTCTTAGTTCGCTACGAGTTCACTTTTCGGCTATCTAAACAAAGTCTGACTTGTCCTGGCTCCTGGACTAGAAAGGCTGGCGACGACCAGGCACTTTTCGACTCCTCTATTACAACTAACTGTAGCATTCTATGGTTTTCTGCATAAAGCAGCTTCTCAATAGCAGGGGAAACTGATAAATGCCTCTGTATGATCGGCTTCACGGTACCTGTATCTATCGTGTGAGATAGTAAACACCTTAAAAATGAGAGTGTAAGTTTTTACTTCACATCGAAAGTCGTCTAGTGATCAAGAATTTTTGATCATTCTTAACAAAAGACTATAACAGCTCGTAGAAGTTAAAAACAATTAGTAACCAGCTAACATCTAGGATACCAACTTGTATACATCTACTAAACATATAGAAACCAGATACTTAACAGCTAGTAACCAGATAATAACATCCAGTAAACAACTTGTATACATCTACTAAAGATATAGTAACCAGATACTAAACATGTAGTAACCAGCTAATAACATCTAGTAAACGACTTGTATACATCTATTATAGCTCATAACAGTTAACAACAGCTAGTAATCAAAGTCCAAGCAGCCCAACCGCCATCATGTATCACGAAAAGCAGATGAGTATTGTTATTAAAGAGTTCATTAAACTTATTCAAAATCTTAGACAATGATGCCTAACTCATACAAATAGAATAGAACTAGAAATCTAGAACTAGAAAATAGTTGGCAACAAAAAAAGAGATATTACCAGGTCACACCACCTCTATCATATACTTGAATCAGAAATTAAATTAAAAGACGCTGGGAACCAAGCGAAAATATGCGCTTGGTACGAAGGTTAACAACCCATATATTTCTTACAGAGGGAGGAGTCAGAAAATTAAATATATAAAAATATATATAATATATATTTATTTATGAATTAAATGAAATATGTTTACAATAATAAAATAAATAATATAATATTAAATGATCCTACAAAATTTTTTTTTGACTGAACAAATGAATGGTTTAAGAATAGTCCAACATCTGAGAAACATTAAATTGTGAGAATTATTTTACATCTATCTATGGGAACGTTTGGAACGAAGGTTAACAACCCATATATTTCTTACAGAGGGAGGTGTCAGAAAATTATTTATATACAAATATATATAATATATATTTAATTATGAATTAAATGAAATATGTTTACAATAATAAAATAAATAAAATAATATTAAATGATCCTACAAAATTTCTTTTTGACTGTAATTAAAACTACAAGTATGGTGAAGGGAAAGTATTTTGTTCAATGAGGTACGTCGGCTACTTGCGAGTTTGTGCACGGTCGGAACATCATCCCTTATCAACGGTCTTGAGATGTATGATCTTATCAGACGTCCTGCTCCTTAGGTCTTGGGCATTTGACTTTAATGGCGGTCAGGTAATTATAGTTCACGGTAAGTTGGTTTGTATGCTTTGATAATTCTTAATAAGAAACTATAACAACTCATAACACTTGTTAACAGTTAGTTACCATCTAAAACCAAGTACTTTACAGATACTATACAAAAAGTAATCATCCAAAACCAAGTACTTTACAGGTACCATACACAAAGTAACCATCCAAAAACAAGACTAAACAGAAAATAAGCATCAAAATACTGCTAGGTAAGAACTTAATACAACGTGTGCAATGTGTCAAGTCCATGTCCATCAATATGAGTACTACCCTAAAAAATATTATATCTCTGGATATTCTTCAAAGTCAAAATCTATTAAATTGTGGATGGAGCAGTGGAGACGAAATTTCTACGGGACCCCACTTCAACTTTTCTGTACCATTAAAATTTTGTTGAGATTTGCAGAGGATTATAAAAAAGTTGTGTTAAAATGTAAACATGAACTAGTGTTGATGCTAACTAAGAATCTTGGCGATGTGTTACAACAAAGCAGAAATGAACAAACTTTTAAACTGGAAATGACGAATATAGCCTGGAAAATTTTCCATGTAACTCTGACCGATTTTGCAAATATTAAGATGTATGATATTATTAAAAGTGGTGTAAGCCTACTAATCGCATTCCGGAGTTGGTATTCATATGTTAACCCCAAATAGGGGTATGGGAGTCAACACAGCTGGAATGAGAAATTGTCGGCCAACTGCGAAAAAACCAAGATTTATAATAATTGGACTTACACTAAATGGAGAAGTTATCACAAATAATTTATCAAACTTGAAAGTTCATTTGAATTCTGAATCATAACCGTATGATAAACTGAATGTTGATTTAAGTAAAAATCAGTAAGGTCACCTATATGAAATGTATAAAAGATCTCAATCTAGTTACTATAATCGTGAATCACAACCATTTTTGACCCCAAATGAATTTAAATTGAAGGCCCCTATTATTGTGGTTGCTCTTTCATATCAAAACGAATCAGTGAAAACTGGTCCTATTGATGTGAGAATTTCAATAGAACTGAAGACACCAAGTCATGAACATACCCAAGCTTACTGTCTCCTCATACATGACCGTTTATTTGAATATAACCAATTAAACGGACTAGCACAACGAGTTTTTTAACATTAGAAAAATGTTGAAAGATACTGTTTCGATTGATGTTCACGGTTTCTTTGATAATAATAATAATTTTATTCTAAAGGAAATTGGAATTGTATTCGAAAAAGATCCAAACTTGATTAATAGTTAAAGCCGTTGTTTGTGCCTAACCGAAGTAGACACTTCCGGGTCACACCGCGGGACAAGGGGGTAATGAGCACTTGTCGCTGGCACGGGGACGCTATGATGGCAGGACGATCGCGTCGCGGCAATGGTAACGATGGTTACTGCGATGCCGGATCACAGGCAATGCTGGAGCTGCGCTGAGGGTGAGCTAACGTGGTTAGCTGCTAGTTGAGATAGTGTATTACGAGCCCTATTCCCAGATGTAGGAAGTAAAACCTCGGAGTTAAGAGGTGTGCTGATAACTGATTTATTCTTCATTTGGTACATGTTTATATACTACTTGGAAGACGAAAGTTTAGTGTAATGATTAGTGAAGTGCGCTATATTCTAAAGTAGGTAGGTAGGTCAGGGAGTTTTGATTATGGTAGCAGTTTGTGTAGTTGGCTCGGCAGACACTGCAAAATGTGCTGACTGCATTGGCCGGTCAGTGTGCCGTTGAGTCGGTGAGACGGTGAGTTAGTGAGACATATAATATGCTAATCAGCCATTCTCATATGCAGTGGGTCCTACTGAGCGCCTGGGACTGTTCCCAACTTGGCTACTGCTTGATTTGTTGGGTGTGGTCATGTTGAGTACCTTTGGGTACGAACAGCCGTTACTCGTAGAGTAAAAGGGTTTACTAGATTCGTCGGAAAGTATGTAACAGGCAGAAGGAAGCGTTTCCGACCCCATAAAGTATGTATATTCTTGATCAGGATCACTAGCCGAGTTGATCTAGCCATGTCCGTCTGTTCGACTGTACGTCTGACCGTCTGTCCGTCTGTCTGTCCGTCCGGATGAACGCTGAGATCTCGGAAACTATAAGAGCTAGGCTATTGAAATTTGGAGTGCAGATTCCTGAGCTTCTTACGCAGCCCAAGTTTGATTCAGCAGCGTGCCACGCCCACTCTAAGGCCCACAAGCCGCCAAAAACTGTGTCTCCTACAGTTTTGCTACTAGAATAAAATTTTTAAGTGAAATGTATTGTTCTCAGCAATACCTATCGATTGACCCAAAAAAAAGTTTCCCACGCCCACTTTAACTCCCACAAACCGCCCAAGCCTGTACGCCCATAATTTTCATGCTAGATAAACAATTTTAACTGTTTGCCACGCCCACTCTAACGCCCCTATCGCTTAAATCTGTCTACCGCCTGTAGGTGGCGCTCGCTTTGCTGCTTGCATATCTCCATTTCCCTTTGGTCCCTTTAGCTGAGTAACGGGTATCTGATAGTCGAGGTACTCGACTATAGCGTTCTTCCTTGTTTTTTAATAGAGCCGCCATATGATTTTACTTTGGTAAATACAAAATCTCGAAAGACTGCAATTTGGTTAACCAATACACATCACAAACTTTTTTGGAACGACGGAGAGAACAGTTTTCCACAAACTCGAAAGTATCTAAGGACAATTACAAGCGGAAAACAAGTTATTTGTAAAAGTGTGGAATAGAAACGATTTCTACAGACGTTTTTTGAGAGTCGTCAGCTCATTAAACCACACACCTTAAGGGCGGGGTTTGTGCTCTAAACAATGCATACATTATTTTGAAATTTTTTAAATGTAGCTTCAAAACAATAAAATAATTGTTATACATCATTTTAAAGTTGAGACTAGATGTGTAAAGACCTACAAGAAAATAAAATTAACAAAATGAAATTTCATGAGGAAATTGACCAAGTTATTGAACAATTAAAAGGAGAGATAATTGGTCAGCATTTTCAATACCTTCTAAACACAAAAAACTATGTTCATGAATCGAGGTGGACATGATCTCAAAACTACGAGCTATGGTGAACACATTACATTTTGTAATCTAGAAACGACGTCGGAAACGTGCGCCTGCTTTTTCTATGCACATCGCCGGAATCAAAGCAGAAAATTAATTTCTATATATAACAAAAATGTTTGCAATACCAAAATAAATGAACAAACGTATTATTATGCTACAAAATAAACTTCTGACTTTTTATTTCGAGTTAAAATTACAAGTACGGAGAATGGAAAATATTTCCTTGACTGAGATATGTCGGCT